CGACCAAGAGATGAGTGGCGAGGACTGCTCTAGTGGAGGGAGCGCCTCTGAGCCGTGGTCTGGTCTGCTGTTGTAATGAAGTGATGCGCGGAGAGACGCATGGCCGGCAGCCTTGGAAGACCTTGGCTGGCCCGTCATGTCGTTCGCGCTGGGACTGATGCCGCCTGCATCTTTTCCCCAATTCGCAACGTTCCTGCAACGCTCTCGGGTGGCCTGATGAGAATGAGACGCGCCTCCTCTCAGCCCAACTCGTTTCGTCGGCTTTATGCCCACGCATTGGCGCGGCTCTCTCTGGTGTCTCACTTTCTAGCTGAGACTCAGCCCTCTCCTTGCGTATGGAATGAGTGACCATGGATATTTCTATGACGGCAGCGTATGTACGCTCTCATACTTCACCGACGAACGGACAAGCACCGACACATCGATCAAAGATGACGATGATTGTTTGGTTGCTGCGTGGATGGACAAAATTCCCCGTGTCTCGGGTGATATTGATTCATTCACATATGTCTTATTCGGTCCATATCTCACACTCACCGACGCATCCATCTACCCCTGGCGGATGGCACACGTCTGGTGCTCATGGTGGTGATGTCGATTTGTGACATATTTGGCTCCCCTTTCGGGAGGGCTCCAGAGAGTTCCATGCGATGTGATGGTCCATGAAGTCTGGCTTGAAAACGAATCGAAATTGGTTCTCCCTTCTCTGTCTTTATGACAGGTGGAGAAGAATCACTGATTGTCCTGTCTCATTGAGCGGGCAAATTTCGGCGAATCTCTGAAAGATTGAGGCCTTTTTGAAGGCAGTGTATGCAACAGGCACCTCCGCCTGGTGTCTTCGTCAACCAGTTTGGCCAGCAAGTCCAGTGGTCTGCTGGGTTCAATCGTTGGCATGACATCAACACGGGACAGGCTGCAGTTGCTCCTGCGAATTTTGCTGCTCCAGCTCCTCAACCAAACGCACCGGTTGTCGGTGGTGCTGCTGCCGCAGCTGACGGTCCTGGCCAAGCAGCGGCCCCTCTACCACCTGTCGCACCCGTCGCACACGCTGCGCAGGAAGGAGAAGACCCTGTTCCTCCACCAGTCGATCACCCCCTCGTTGCCGCTGGTAACATCTACGCAGAAGTAGCTGAGGTCGTTGACGCCGACATGGCGGCGAATTATACGAACCTCGTCAACCAGCAGCGGATTGTCCAGCAGCATGTTGGCAAATACAATGGCGAGAAGGAAGGCCACCCGGCCGAACACTTTCTCACGCGATTCGCTCGCACCATGGAGAATCTCGACCAGCAGGCCCTTGGCCTGAACGCCAGAGACAAACTCAATGCGTTGAATCTGTGTCTCGAGGGCGAGCCCAAGGGCATTCTCGAGAGATACTACAAGAACAACCCGTCACTGCTGCCGCTCAGGGCAATGCCAACGACGTCTACTGGCGCGACGCGCTGCAGAATGTGACTGCCGAGCTCAAGTCGACGTATGGCATCACGTCGGGCTTCGCTCGCGAAGCGGCCAGGATTGTCATGTCCCCTGAGACGGTCAGTTCGCTCAAGCCTGACCAGTCGTTGCGTCACCGGCTCACCGAGCTGGGCAAAATCATCGACGTGGCGACGACCGAAGTCCCCATCTCTGAGGAGCAGAAGGCGGACGCGGTCATTTCGTTGCTACCGATGCAGATTCAGCCCACGCTCAAGTTTCAGATGCTCAAAGACTTCGACTCGGCCAAGGCGGCTTACCTCACGGGTGGAGCTGGCCGTGCCGTGACGGATC